TATAATGTTAAATTTTAATGCCCGGGGGTGGCCTTTTAAAATTTTAGGAGAAATCCAATGACATATAATAATACCTAGACTGGCGATGCATTCATTAAAAATGTACATCAAAGAAAGCAGCTGGTGAGGCCATTTTGATTACCCATACCATTAAAAATCTTAAACGAGAGGTCAAGTTATTGCAATATCTAAGGAATTGCCTGTTAATCGAGATAAGAAGCAGGTTATCAATTTGATAGTAGTTTTTAACATGAGAATAATTACTATATGGGTTTACCAAAATGGCGGGTCCAGCTGATTTGCATTCAACGACGCTTTCAAATGCATTATCATGAATGCATCTTTAGTCTAGGTATTTAAATGTCATTGGGAAAATCATAGATTTGCGAGGCCCCGTCTCTTGTATGTATATTGTCCGGCCTAGAACCGAATTGTTTTAACTTTCCCGGACTGGTCTGTGGGCTTTACAGATCTCAAATCGCCAAAAATAAATTGGTAAACGATTAAATCAAGTCTCGTTAAATCATAATTTATGTAATAATAATTAGTGTAACATTACGGTTAATTTGTGTAAAATATTTTTTTAAGATTAAAATTCATTTCTAAGTAGGCCTATTCAAAAAAAATTCGAATTCGAATAGATAATAATAATTACGAATACATAAATTGGTGGTTATATCCGAATACGAATAATTATGTATTCGATTCGAATAAAACAAATTATTCGAATCAAACTAATTATTCGGAATATTTTATAAATTGCTTTTAATAAATCTAACATTTGTCATTTCTATTTGATGACCTTCCAATCTGACACGTGATGTGTTTATAAAAAGACTAGCACAAATTTAAAAAATCACTGAAGTGAAAATTAAAGCAATATTTAAATTTTTATTTGCTGTATTTTTTGAATCTCGCGAGAAGTTTTTTTTTTGAATCTCATAATAAATTATATATAAAAATTGCAAAAACAAAGGTATATAAAAATATAATACATCTTAGAACAAATTATTATTAGTAGTCTAATTATGTTAGAGAAGAATACTTCTGATGATATAGCTATGCTTGATGTTGAAGTTGACAAAATTTCTTCACAAAGAGAGATTATATGGGATCAATATCAAATCAATAAAAACTGCTTGCAATCAATTGCAAGAGCATTATAAAATGTAAAGGCAAAACAACACTCCCTCTTAGTAATCATTATAATAGGTTTCATTCACACCTAGGGGGTAGTGATCTGCATCGGGCCTAATTTTTCAAGCCCAGCCCGACTTGAAATTTTTTTAAAAAAGTTTTGCCGGCCCGGCCCGAACCCAAAATTTTTTTAAAAATGTTTTGCCGGCCCGAATTTATTTATATATAGAAATTAAATTTACTCAAAATAAAAGACATATGTTATATGTCGTTTAGTTTCAATAAATAAATTAAAATATTTTTATTTTACATAAAAAATTAAATAATTCCAAAATCCGATCCGACCCGGCCCAAATTTTTTTTAAAATATTAGGCCCGTCGCATGTTATAAGGAAGAAAATATAAGAAAAACTCTTTGCCTTAAAAATTGGCTTAGACCTACTATGAATTAAATTAATAATATACGTTTTTAGTTTTGTTTATAATTTAATTACATATTTTTTATCATCAGATTATTGATTACATACTTTTTATTATCAGATTATTAAAATAATTTACTCTGTAATTGTAATAAATTTGTTAATATATTTAAGTATGATATATTTTATTAAGAAAATTTATTTCAATTATTCGAATCGAATACAAATAGTAGATTTTATTATCCATACGAATACAAAACGAATAGGCCTATTTCTAAGTATACGAAAATGGGTAAATTTGTTAGATTTCGTTTCGCCCAATAATTCGGTTTTACTCTAATATTAGCGTTATCTAATAAAAAATTTTAAAAATGGCTGAAACAAGTTGATTTTTTAAATAAAAAATTCTATTTATAAAATAAATTTTTAATTAATAAATCATTTTTTTAATTATATTTTAAAGATAAAAAAAAAATTTTATGTTATCTCTTTTTTCTTTCTTTTTATTAATTTAATAATATTTTAATATATATTTTTATACAAGTAAAATTTTTTCTATCAAAAAATAATTCAATTTAAAATTGTTAAAAAAAATATTTTTTTTTAGGATATTAAAGACAGTTATTTTAAAAAATGGCCAAAAATCCAACTATAGCAATTTTCTAAACAACAACCAATTTTTTTTTTATTAAATGATAGTAAGATGCATCTTTTATATATGAGATGGAATCACGTGATAGCTTCCGATCAACCTAAGCAACAACCAATTTTTTTTATTAATTGATAGTAAGATGAATCTTTTATATATGAGATATAATCACGTGATAGCTTCCGATCAACTATATATCATCTACCCCGTAGCACACATCCATCTAGTTAGGATCAGAAAATATGGATTCGAACCCAGAATTACAACCATATATGGCGTCGATCCAAACACAAAAAATATTTTAAAAAAATACCCATTTCAACACTGCCTTTGTGGGTAGTTGCTAATAATAAACTTTAAAAAAATGTAAAAAAAATTATCTTTTTTTTTATTTTGTTTTTTTGTGAATTTTTTAAAATATTGCGTTTAAAAAAATATAAATAGAATAAATATTAAATTTGTTATCAATATGCGTCAGAGGGGTAGGGAAACACACCCACTAAATTTAAATTTAGCGCCATTTAGCAGAAGGCAACGCTTAACGAAAAGCGCGGGAATTAGAATGGCGCCGACTACAAAATAAAATAAGACAAGATGGTTTGTGAAGCGTTTAAACCAGGGGTTGAATTACTAGTGAGAATATTGTATCAAATAACGAGTTTAGTTTTTTTGTTTTAAAAAACCTGAGATAGAAGGACGAAAAAGGAATTTTATATTATTTGTTTGGATCGACACTGACACATATGGCTATAATAAATATTTTAAAAAATCGTCGGTTTCGGAAAACTTCTGTGACCTAGTCGGCAAGTGCGTGGATTGTCAATCCGACAGTTCTGGGTTAGAATCCAGCTAGGACCCTAATTTTTTTTTCAGAAGTCAACCCGGTGGTACAGTTCTTGGGGAGATGAAATATAGCAGATCGAAGGCGATCGCGTGATAAAGAAAGAAAAGAAAGAAAGAGAAAGAAAGAAAGAAAGAAAGAAAGAAAGAAAGAAAGAAAGAAAGAAAGAAAGAAAGAAAGAAAGAAAGAAAGAAAGAAAGAAAGAAAGAAAGAAAGAAAGAAAGAAAGAAAGAAAGAAAGAAAGAAAGAAAGAAAGAGGAAAGGAAAGGAAAGGAAAGAAATAAAGACCAATAATATATAAAAAAAAAATTTTTTATTGCATTTTAAAAATAGTTGGTTGTTGTTTATCAAATAAAGTTGAAAAATTGCTATATGTTGATTTGGCAGTAAATAACATTAACCATCGAGTCACTTTCTTTTTGTATTAAAAAATATCTAATTTTAAAAAATACCCATTTTATATTTAAGTTTTTATAAAAGTTCTGAATTTTAACTTTTGCGTTTTATACCTCTAGTTAAATTAATCATAAAATAAATAATAACACCTTCGGTTAAATAATTTACGCGAAAAATGTTTAAAAAGTTCTGAAGCCCCTTGACCCTTCATGGCTTTCTCCGTCAAGAGGGTTTCGCTGGACCACCCGTTACGCCTCAGACAAATATAATTTTTACAATGTATTATAAATATGTTAACCAATTATTGATCAATATAAGTACATGGCATTTTTATTTTTTAAAAAAATCAATATTTTATTTTTAGGATATTATGTATATAAATATATTTTAAGAAGGGATTTTTTTTTTACAGAAATAATTTTGAAGGGTAATTTTTAATTTACAAATATGTTCGACTTAGGTTCCCTTTCCAGCCCCCTCCCAACCTGCCCCTTTCCCCAAATCAATCGATTTTTTATAATGAGGAAAAACATATTATAGCCCCAATATTTTGTTATGTGAATTCGTGACTAGTTCTCATTACCAACCTAGCTTATAAATAATGTGACCATTCGCACCTCTACAAAATGGCCATAGAATTTAAGAGTCGAAATTAAAATTCTGTTATTTTCATAAACCTTTAGAAATTAATTAATGTTTCTCTAATTTTACGTGGCAAAAGTTTTTATTCAAAAAAATGATTGCCATCATTTTTTTTTGGTGAAACCTCTAAAATTTTTAATTCTTGAATAATTTAACCTTCAGATTAAGTGGTATAAAATATAGGGTAGAGCCAGGGCTTACGGGGTAATATGACACGGGGAATATAGTGGCCTTTTCATAAAAAATTGAGACCTAAAAAGCAGGGTTCTTAGGGTTTAAAATTTGAAATTGTTTTGTTGGATATCTTGCGCTTATGAATTAATCATTGAAATCAAACTCTGCAAATTTAATTATTTTTAAGCCCGAGCCCTAGCCCGGCCTAAATTATTATTAAATTTTTAGGTCCCGAAAGCTGACTTGTGGCTCTAACCCTAACTAGGGAGCTCGCGCAATTGGGTGCTGCAGTGAGTAAAAAAAATATATTCTATTGATAGTAAGCGACATGTTTTTAATTTTATATAATTTGATGTGCTCAATTGTAATCTTCAAAAAAGAAGTTTTATAAACACTATGAATAAACAAATTAAATTTAAAAGCAAAGGAAAGCCTAAACTATTCTGTAATTTTTCTTTTCTTTTATTTTTGTGTTTATATTTATTTCTTTCTATATTTTTTTTTCTTTCTTTCTTATTTTTTTTCTTATATTTTGTTTTTTTTTATACAATTTTTGTAAAATTGCAAATCTCATACTTCAAATTTTCGTAAGTTTTTTTTTTCTTCGAAAACATAAACCCCCTAAAGCTCATTGAATATAAAATTTAATAATAATTAATAATAAAACATCTGATTTCTAATGCGCATTAAAAAAAAAATAATTAAATTTCTAAAAATATAAATTAATTAGTTAATTGATAATGTAAATCTCGTAGTGTGATCTAGCAGTAACTTTTTAAATACAATTTAAAAAAATTTTTTGAATGACAAAGATTTTTGTAACCACTTCTGGATTTAAAGGAATATCTTACTAGCATAATTTAAAAACAATTCTATAAAAGAAAAATTGATATGATAAAGGTAACAAAAATGAAATGATTATAAAGGCCTAAATTCTTAAACAAGTTTTTCTTAAATTATCAGCTGTTCTTAACTAAAGTTATATAGCGATATAAAAAATACAAGGTAGCTAAAAAAACATATGAAATAAGCTATTTATAGCAATTTTATTTTACCTTATAATCTTATGATAATTTATGAATCCAGGGAATTGACCAAAATAATGATTTACATCTTTTTTTTTTGTTTTTTAAAATATTTTTGTTATTTTTAGAAAAAATATTTTTTTCATTTTTTTTAAAATAAAATTATCGTCTGTAATTATTGTTTATTTTTTATTTATTTAAATTTTTTTTTCTCCAAATTTATTTACCCCCACTAAGAATATAAAAAATAAATAAACCACAAATTAAACCCGTTAAATAGCGATCAATTTACCCCTATAAAATGGGCATTGCGATACGGTTACGTATTACTTCCATAAAAATTATTTCAAATCAGATGCGAAAATAATTGGCGTCCATTTTTTCATTCTTTATAAGTCGTCCTGGTGAGTTTCGAGGAAGATCACACTCTTTTTTGTATCAGCCAGCTTTCCTTAACTTTAGAATGTGAACACTTTTTTTACTACGTTGGAAAGAGCTAAAATGTCAGTTAAGGCAGTCTATATTAAGAGTGTCAGCTGTTTGATTAGAATAGAACCAAAATTTTGTATCCTCCTGAATGCTCTCTAAATGCATTTGATAAAATAACTTAAAATTCAATATTAGCAAACAAAAGGTTACTATTCTTCTGTTGGTCAATTAACTCTTATATTAAAATTAGAAAGATTTTTTTAAAATAAATCTGGAAAGAGCTAAAATGTCAGTTAAGGCAGTCTATATTAAGAGTGTCAGCTGTTTGATTAGAATAGAACCAAAATTTTGTATCCTCCTGAATGCTCTCTAAATGCATTTGATAAAATAACTTAAAATTCAATATTAGCAAACAAAAGGTTACTATTCTTCTGTTGGTCAATTAACTCTTATATTAAAATTAGAAAGATTTTTTTAAAATAAATCTGGGCCTAAAATTTTGACCCTTCTGCGGGTCAAAAATACCAAGAACCAAAACTTTTTTCATGCTTGTGTTCAAATTAGACAGGTAAAAATTTCCCAAATAAATAATCATAAAAGTCAAGGCAACCCCTCCCCCCTCCACCAAAAAAAAAAGATGAAAAACAAAAAAAAATGTCGGAGAAAAACAAATTCACAAAATATTTTTTTATTGTATGGTCTGGTCGGAAAGAAGTCGTATTTTAATTTTAACAATTTAGCTCTAATAACCTGTCTAATTTAGTATTTTAATATTTTGAGCAATATAATTTTGATGAATTATAATAGCTTGAAACAATTTTTCTTTTTATGAGTAGCAAATTAATTTTAAATTAAATTTATATTTAATTTTATGGGTCATTCATTTTCACGAATTTTAAACCAAATGGTGCCCAAATTAAACAAGTGCTTACTTGTATATTTTTTAAGTGGTTTATTTTAAAATCTAAAAATAACTTTATTTTTTTTTTTATTATTTATTTCTTTTTTTTTTGAAATAAAAAATCTAAAAATAAATTATTATTTATTAAAATAATAAAAATTACTATAAAAAAATTTGTCTAGGGAATAAAGGTCTGTCTAGTTCTTCACTTAATCTTTAATATATATTGTAATCTGTGGGTAATGGAATTTTGGGATTGTAGGGATTAAAAAAAGATTAACTAAATGGATTTAAGATTAGCTCTCAGAAAGAAAGGAAGTGAGGATGCTCGACAAGATGGAACCTTTGGGCATAAAACTGCTACAACATTTTTGGAAGGATCTAGAAGAGCCCATTTTGAGTGCCCTCAGAGAAATATCAGAATATCCCTAACCAGATTTTTCATTAGCTGAAACATGATTAGATTCAATCGAACAGCTGATTTTTTTATTACATTGGATTGTATTTTAATAAATTAAAAATGATATGGATTTGGCTGAAGTATCTCCAATATTATTTATATTTAACTCAGAAAACTGACAGATAAAATCAACCAAGAATTTTCATAAGATTTTTTGAGATTTGTTGAAAGCGAAAATTATATTTTGAGATTCAATAAGCCTCGACTTCATAAATTGAATTGAGGTCACGTCACTCTAAAATGACAGTTTTTAATTAACTTTTGGAGATACATTTTTGACTCAAATCAATGAACAATTTTGATGCATCAAAAATGGCTATCCAATTTACAAATAAAATAAACTACCTCTCTCACCTGCTGAAGTATATATTAAATTTTGATAGTAGAAAAAAATTAAATATTTACCTATATTTTATTTAAGGAATATCAATATATCGAAAGCCAATTTATTTTTAGAATTTAAAATCTTGATATCGAAAAAAATATATAAATATTTACCTAAATATTTATTTTCAAAGGATGTCAATATAATCGCGAGAGCCAATTAATTTCAGAATTTAAATCTTGGAGATCTAATCTTAGTAGATAATCCTCCAGAAAACAGTGGAAGCATTGCATATACTTAAATATATTATTTTTAAATTCCTTTAAAATTACATTATATTTTTCGCAACGATGCCAATTTGTACAAGCACAAATGAGCTATAAAGATCTAATCTCCGACACAGAACAAATTATAGAAAAATTGGCGCAATCGTAAAGAAAATTAAATTTTTACATTTATGAGAAACGTTATTTTTGAATAACTTTTTAAATAATCATTCATATAGTGTATTTAATTCTATATATTATACTGTGATTTACATAGCGGTTTAATAAATTGCATGTAATATTTTTTTTAATACAGCTATTAAACATTTTTTAATTATCATTTCTTTATGATTGGTTCTATTAAATTTTTAATGCTCAAAAAAAAAAATTCAAAAATTTCGAACAGGCCCGGTTTCGAATTTTTTTTTTTAAATAAATTTTTTATCCGGGCCGGATATTTTGAAAATATTTTTTCGAGTGATCCGAGTTTTATATTTTTAGGTCAGGCCCAGATATTAAAAAAATTTATCCTTACACCCCCCCCCCACCTCTCTCCCATTTAAAAAAATAAGATAATTTTTTTTTAAATAACGACTTCTAATACCCAAAATTATTTTTATAAATAAATATATCACAGCTACAGGTCTACAATAAGTGGACCTAAAGATCCCCGATAAAAATGTAGCGAAAAAATAAAACACATGATAGTGCTTTCCTCTATACGAAAAAATCATGGAAACGCCCTATGCGTGAAATGTTATTTGCGGGATAGTATTGTATTGTATTCGATGTTCGGATAATAAAAGATAGAAAGACGGAAAAATTTTAAAATGGGTGTAGCATGGAAAAAACGGAATTATTCAGTAGGAGGTAGGACAAAATTAAATTTGTTGAGCAACATATTTGCCTGATTAGTTTTTTTTATAGTAAGTAGATAGCTTTAAGCCTCTAAATGGTCAGAGCCAGGGGACATCAGTATTAGAGACGATGATGATACAGAGATAAACATCGTGAAATGGTCGGTTGAAATCAATAGAATGTTATAATCACTTAGGGGTGCACATGCACACAAATATATATGAAGGCATAGAAAAGGGGAAATTTAATCAAGGATATATGAGAGTGGCTTAAAGTTATATAAATCTGAAGGGTGTTATATGTAACAAGAATATGTTCCGGTTGCTACAAATTTTATAAAGCGGTGATGCTATCCATTCTTATATACAGATCAGAGACGTGGGCTCTAAAGAAAAATAAGCCAGACTTTGGCTACCGTAGATATGAGAAAGTTATACGGGTGGATAGCGGAATAGAACCATAATGATCATATTTTTAATACCCGAATGCTGGAAAGCTTGCTTGAAGGTAGAGTCCCCATAAGGACAAGGAAGTTGATAAACAAACTGAGATAGGATGAACGCGTGTTGATAAGATCAGAATCACTATGTTGGGAAAGTATGGGACAAATAACTTACATTGAAGGCAATAGGAAAAAAAGGGGGAAGGACAAAAAATGAAATGGAAGCACATTATAAATAAATAAAAAATACTATAATATTTATGAATGATTGTTATGAATCGACATTATAAATGGAGGGAAAAAAACGAAATAAATGAGCTAACCACTTAAATGACGAAAATAGCTAATGGATAAAATATTTTAAAAAAAGCAATAAATCTTCATAAAAAGATGGCTGATAAATTCTATTATTTATATAACTAAATAACAAAGGCGGAAGGATGACTTATTTATGCGCAATTAGTTTTTCCGTTACGCAAAAAGGAACATTGTCATCATTTTTTTTTCTTTTAAAAAATCATTCCTAAAAGAAAAATCTTTATAACTAATTAATATGATTTAATACGAATTAGGACATTAACCAGAGATTCATTTTCAATTTCTAAATCAATTATATTTGCCAGATGAAATGATAAAAACTATTTTTTAAAAAAAAATTAATATTTTGATTTAGTATTATAGAATGACGATTAGTATTATAATGGTATATGTCGCTTAGCCTAAATTTTTTTAAAAATAAAAATTAGCTGAATTGAATTTTAAAAAATTTATTTTTGGACTTTTAAATTTATTTTTGGACATTTTTATAATAAATTTTAGAAAAAATACTCAAAAATATATAATATTTTGCAGTGGCATTGAGCATGTCTAAAAAATAATAATTTTTTTGATTTTTTTAAAAAAATATATTTATGTTTTTGTTGTGTTGCAAAAAAAAAAATAGGGGTTATTTTAGGCCTTTAATCTACTTTTAAATTAAATGATTTTAATTGATATCGACGAAAATTATTAATTAGTGTTTATTAGAAATGATACTAATTCTAACTGATAAGTATGAATAAATAATATGTAACACATAGTAAAATCTTCATATGCGACCATCTTGTTGTTATAGTGGTCCTATAACTTCGGTCCACCTGATAATGGGTATATTAAGATCACCTAGTGTTGTTAAACGGCTCGTTTTGAGCCGATTTTTAAAAACGGCCAACTCAATATTTTAGCCAGAAAAATATTGCCTGAGCCTCGTGATTTGGCTAGACTTTTGTGCCCTCTATGAAAAAAATCTTCGGACTTGAGTAATATTTTTTTAAATGAAATATTGAGTCAGCCGTTTTTAAAAATCGGCTCAAAACGAGCCTTTTAACAACACTAATCACAGCTATGATTAATTTCTATATTGACCACCTCTCTTTTTTGAATAGTGACTAAAAAGATTTTATAATTTTTAAAA